GCCTCATCTTTCTCCAGCAGAACCGCTGGTAGCTTCACACTGCAGACTTTGAGGTTAGCAGCCCGACTCATAACTAAACACCTTCTACTAGTTCAGAGCCCTCATTTACCCAGTATCAGTGAGGATGGAAACAGTGTACTAAAAGCCAGTTTTAGAACTCAAAGGTATTTAGATATCATCTTATATCAGAAATGGGGAAAATGAAGCTCAGAGAAAGAGCTAACTTGTCAGCTGTCATATTGTTTTTGTCTGGTATTTTTTATTTATTTATTTATTTTTAAATGTTTTATTGTGAATTATGTGATAGTTTACATGTGAGAACATTGGTTTTACATTCATCCCATTGTGTATTGTTTCATTGCCATGGTTACAATCCCCTCCATGCATCATCAACCAACCAAAGGGTACATCCTACAAGACTGCCACCACCCCCACCACACCACCCCTGCTCCCCCAGGTCATCAGCACACAGCCCCTCTCCCTCTCTGGGTCTAAAGTCTCCAGCTGCTGTCTGGTCATTTTTGACAGAACTTTTTCTCATATATTATGTTTCCAGCCTTCTTACAAATCACTTGGAGTACTGACTACAGTTTAATGCTTTCTTGAAGATTTGGGCCCATTATTCTGAACACCAACTACACTGCTATGTTATGATTTTGTGATATTCAAATGATGAGAAGAGACTAAATTTGCTTTACTATAAAATCCAGACTACTTTAATAACCCAGACCCCCACCCCCACCCCCGTGTAATGTTGTCAGCCTTTTCTTCTTTCTGATGGCAGTACAAATCTCAGTGAGACACTGATCTTTGAAAAGGGTCAAGGAGCACAAAACTTAAGATTGAGAAAACCAAGCCCAGAGGATGCTTACTTACAGAATAACCACCAAACACCAGCTGCCATGGAGTCAAATCAGACTCCTGCTAACTCCTTGTTCCACATGGTTTTCAATGACTAATTTTTCCAAAGTAAATCACCAGGCCTTTCTTTTGAGGTGCCTGTGGGTGGACTGCAACTTCCATCTTTTGGTTAATGGCCAAGTGTGTTAACTGTTTACACCAAGTAGTAACAACTCACCTTTATTGAATGCTTAATATGAAGTGAGCCAGACTTTAGGTACTTTATCTCCTTTAATTCTCTTAACAACACTGAGACAGGGACTATATTATCTCTCATGAGGCCACAGAAAATGACCTTGTTCAAGGTTACAAAGCTGGTAGATGGAGGGCCCAGGATTTAAGCTTGGGACGTCCGTCCTTACTTCAGAGGCCACGCGTTTGAAGGAGGAATTTCTGAGTGAATTCTCATTTACGAATTGATAAAACTTGAGCCCAAGAGAGGGTAGTCATTTCCCCACAAGTTTACACATCTGTTTAGGGACATAACTAGACTAACACTAGGTAATTTCATTCATTATTCCTAATTCTTACCACTTCACTATACAAAAGTTCAGGGGAGAGAAGAGTTGAGATATTTTTGAAAAGTAAAGTACCGTCTAAGTGGGACTAAAGGAGGCCTGGTGGTGCTGCAAACTGCAAGGCCAGCAGCTGAAACGCACCAGCCGCTCTTCAGGAGAAAGACAAGGCTTTCTACTCACATAAAGATTTACAGCCTCGGAAACCCTATGCAGGGTCACTGAGTTGGAAATGACTTAATAGCATGGGTTTGGATTTTTGCTTTAGGGGGTATGGCGCTGTGGGACAACGCACTGGATCACAAGGTTGGTTTGTACTGCAAGGTCAGCAGTTCAAATTCACCAGCTGCTCCTTGGAAACCCTATACAGGGTCACTATGAGTTGGAATGAACTCGATGGCATGTAACAACAAAGAACCCCGAGTTCAGGGCCTGATGTTCCACAAAAGCTTCAGCGTGGTACACTGCCACGTGGAGGGGATCAGCCATACACCATAGCCCACTCACTTAGGAAGGAGAGAACATTGCTAGCTTGAGTTTCGTGACTCTCCCAGAATGGAGGACCTGACCAGCAGATTCCCCAGAAAGCATCTTCTTTCTCTGAAAATTTGGCAGAACTGTCACAGCATAGACATGTACAGCTACTGAGAGATCCTACCCAGCCCCTCCTCAGCAGCACCCCAGTTTTGAAGTGAGGGCATCCTGGTTCCCAGTGGAACTGACTCAGGTTACCCGAAGACTTCAAGTTTAGAGGGTCCTACTTCATTCCCAGGCAGTTGTGGGGCTGGAGAGCATAAGTATGTTTATCAGAACATCCAATCACCTTGTGAATTAATGCAAATGCTACAGGGATACACTGTAACCCACCTGAGTGCTGAAAATGGGTATAAATCTTACTTGCAATGATTATTAGGAGCCGGCTTCCTAATAATAAAGGCATTTCTCTTTCTTTGTTTATCTGAGATGTTCGTGAATTTGATGCAGTCACTCTGGGACAGGGGTGGGGAACGTCTGGTCCATGGGCCATATGTTGTTGTTGTTGTTATGTGCTGTGGAGGTGGTTCCGACTCAAAGCGACCCTGTACAGGGTTTCTGAGGCTGTAAATTTTTACGGGAGCAGAAAGCCTCAT